AAAGCGCAGAGCTGAGATCCATCCTGCCGCAGGCCCCGGCCCCGAAGGTCCTGCATGGGGCGGCAGGAGAAGGCAGCGGGGAGGCCACGTGCCTCCAGGGGCTTTGCAGATCTCATCAGCCCGACTTTCCCAACAGGCTCTGGCCACGCAAGCTGAATATGCACCTAGTCCCACTCCCAGCTGCAGCCTTCGAGAAGAGCAGCCCCAGCACCCAAACCATCCTCCAGGGCAACCTGGAGAACAGCCCAGCTGGGGCAGGGGGAGGAATTCTTCGTGGTTGCCCAAGACCCAGGCCTTCCTCTGCCTCTGTTCCTGGTTCACCTGCGTCAGACGGCCGAGGCAGCCAGCTTGTCCCTCTTCAGACACTGATTTTTTATGAGCAAAGTGAACCTCTCCATAGGGACAACACCCTACAAGCCACAGCAGAGCTGTAAAAATGTGGAGTTGGCTTTGTTAGGTGGCCCACAACCCTGCCGTAGGACGTGGGACCCAGCAAGGCTCTAAGGCCGATTTCCCTTTCCTGGGGGCTCACCCAGACGCCCCTCTGCCATAGAGAAACCTCTGGAAATGCACCGTCACCTTCTGCTTGCAGCATTTTCCTGGAATCCCCCTTCCCGGCCCCTCTAATAGTCTTCAGACCCCAACTCACGTGATGGGTTTGGTATGCAACTCCCAAGGCCAGGAAGGTCGCTCACCTCGGTTATTTAGCAAACACAAAACAAATTATTAACACTAATACAAATAATGCCCACAGCTGGGAGAGGAGAAGGAATACTCCCCCTGCCTGGCTGCTAGGACTTGGCATTACAGGGACCGGAGCATCCACACGTCCTTCAGAGCGCAGGGCTGATCAGCCCTGAGGGTCTCTGCTCTCGTGACAGAGCCCACGTCTCACGCCAGGCCTGTAAATGAGGAGTACATGTTTCTAAAGGGTGCTCCGTGGAAGCCAGCTCTAACTCCACTGCAGTTCCACTCCTGTAACTTCCACAAATCAATGCAAAAGGAAAAAAAAAAAAAAATAAAAAAAGCAGCTGGCTCAGAAAGCTGCAGCAGCCAGACAGCAGAGTGTTGCACTCGCTGGCCCAGCACATCCCTTCCTGTGCGCTGCTTGTGCCTTGTCCCTTGAGGACACTCTTGTCCAAGGCTGTAAGCGGCACTAGCAATATTTATGACAAAAAATTAAGAGTATTCACAGCATTCAGGTTTGTTCTCCTTTGCAGAAGTTCTTATGCCACCTGCCCGCCCTGGGCCACCAGGCTCCCCCCTTGGAAGGGAAGGGGAGACCAGCGTAGGACCTTCCCTGGTACGTGACCGACGCGAAACTCCCATCTACCAGTTTTCCCATTAACAAGTTTTCCTGGGAGTAGGGGTGTGCATGGAGCCTGGTTTCTATAGGCTGGACTGCAGGCATCGATCTTGCAAATGGGCTTGGCCATCTTTTAAGGTAAAGCTACCAACCAAAAGTATTCCTGCCTTGGAGACAATCACGTTGCCTCTATAATGTGCAGACTCCCTCTTGTCTAGAAACAGATGGCTCGAGCTGTTTGAGTTGGGCATATTCACAAGCTGATAATCATCTCCAGGGAGGCAAGGAGCTATTGTCAGAGCCTGTGAGACACACCCCAACTTCAGGCCTTTTTCCTTTTAATTCTCAAAATGTTGCTGAAATTCTCACTACAGGAATGCTGAGCAGAGACATTCCCTTTGTGGGTTCATGCCTGCTAAGCCAGAAGAGGCTCCTGGCTTCCAAAGTGCTGCCCCACACCCCGCTAAGAGAAAGCATCTCGAAACACGACGGGCCTCACCAGGCCAGCGCTTTGCCGTGGCACTCCCAGGAGCCAAGGGGAAGAATAGATCCTCTCCCCAGAGACAGCAGACGAGTTAGAATGCCAAAGGAAAGGCAAACAGTTGTGCAGAAGGAGCAGTTATTTCACACTAGGTGCAACTCCAGGACGTGCGTCAGCGTGGCTCCCACGGACAGGAGCACGTGCCCGAGGCACACACACGGCCGGGGCAAGGGCGCAGCCATGTGCAGAATTCGTAACAGCAGCGCTCAGCACGGATATGCATCTGCTGCCTGAGAACCCCAGAGGTATCACAAACCTCGATTAATAATCTCCACTGATGTCATTTCTCCACCGGCCAAAGCCTTCCCGGGGAATGCCGCCCAGCTGCCTCAGCAGGACGACGGCACTTCACCGACATACGCCAGGTTCTCTCGCGATGCCAGGTCAACAGAGACCCTGCACGCAGCTCGCTGTGCCCTGGAAACCTGCTCCGACCCAAGCCCAACCGCAGAGCGTGCGGCACAGAGCTGGGATGGATGCTCCCACGGGAAGCTCCATTCCAGCTGGGATGCCCAAGGAAACCCAGACAGAACGCGGTGATAAGCGCAGACGCTACACGCAGGCTGACAGAGACAGGAGAGGCGGCTCTAACACGAGCCCTCACCATGCTCACCGTTATGTAC